ACTAGGCCTTTTGTACATTAATCTGAATTTTAATAGAAAATAATCTCTTTAGAAATAGACCTCTTTTAGGCACTGAGTCATTCTGCACACTTATTTTCCAAACAGCTGAGCATAAGTTTTTTTTTTTTTCAACCATACAAATCTCACCAGATATCTTGTTAAAATCTATCACATATTTTCCTGCAATTTAAACAGGATGTACCAAATACAATTAAGCTTTTTAACAATAACTCAAGGTTATTGTTCTGAATATCGGTTAGGATGCTGGGCTGGAAGCCACCACCATCATCTCGCACTTGGGTCATTGCAGTGGCAGTTTCCTCACTCATTCCCAGCGTCTGCAACACACACATCATTCCAATGCATTCTGCCTGGAGACACAGCTGCCCAAGTGGTCTTTAAATAGAAGAATCTGGTCATTTTAGTAACACGCTCTTTAAAAACCTTAAGAGGCTTCCTGATGGCTCTTAAGATGAAATCCAAAATTTATAATGTAGCCTATAGAGTCCTCCAGCCGACCCCCTTCTTCCAGGCTCCAACTAGACTGATCTGGTTTCAGATCCTTCATAATAATTCTTTGGGAATTCCAAGCTAATATGGCGGAATGAAAGTGCACTATAGAATTTCCCTCTCTCAATATGTAACAAAATGTACAAAACATAATAAAAAAAACCATCAACCACAAGGGAAAACATCACCAATAGCAACCAAACAAGAAGAAAGGCAAGGAAAGAAACAAGATTCACAGCAGGCAAAATTGTGAAAATTCTCACTATTTCCAAATACAGAATGAAACAAACAGGTTTTTTGTTTTGTTTTGTTTTAATGAGGAGTAAAGGAAACAGCTACTGACTAATAAGCAGAAACAAGTGGAATTGAGAGTAACTTTCTCTATTCTTTTTTCTAATTTGATTTAAAATAAAATTAATTTTCATTCGGTTTGATTTATGCTCCTCACCTTCCACCCCAAAGACCCTGACTTTATTTTCCTAAGCAAGACAAAAAGAAACTGACTGGGAACTTACATTTAGCAATGTCATTTAATGTCTTTGATAGGTTCTGTGATTTTAAGCACAACAACCTTTAAGTGTAAGCAAAACCAGTTTTACCATAAGCTAATTATATAAACAAGAATTAGGTTCCTGTGGCATCCCATCTATGCTGTAACAAAGTGACTTATTCGAGGACTCCTGTACACTTCCTTTAGCCAAAATAAAAGGGAAAGAGACATGCACAAGACAACCCGTCCTGGACAAAATTACAATGCAGTAAATAGAAGTAAATTCTTCAAAATTTCATTATGATGTCAAGTAACTTAATAGACCATAAGTTGAGTAATATGAACTTAAAATAAGTTAAGAAAGGGCAATTGTAGACCTAAGAGAGAAAACTGAAAAACATAACATCACAAAGAATGAGACAGGCCCTCACTTCAAGACTTGGCACTGTGTTCATTAGTTAATAAGAGCATTAATTAAATGGGGATTCATAAAAGTCAAACACTTAAATGTCATTTATTTGCTAATCTTATGATGTAAGGGCGAAATCTTTTGTTGAGTAAAGTTTTGGGATTGGCATTCAATTTCATTTTTTTTTCCATAAATTATACCCCTAATACATCATCACAAAGTTGTACTGTGGGTTTTTTAAAGTGGAAAAGGAACTTAAAGTTACATGCAAATCAGTATAATCTTTTCCCCCATCTTTTGGGAATTCAGCTTTTTTTTTTAAGTGATGCCTTTCTTGAGCCTTGGCATACATTTAATTCAGAACTCATAGAACCAACCACTCTTTATTTTTACATTCATTTTTCTCGGGTCTTCCCCATGGCAACCCTGTGATGTAGCCACTGTTAATTGCCTCCATTTCAGTTTATGAGGAAACTGAGGCTTATAAAGATAACCATATTTCTTTTTATCCACACTGAAATCTAATAATTTAGTTTAATTCACAGAGTCATCTTTCCTGGATAGATGTATCAGAAATTTAAACAACTTGAAGCAAAGTGTACAAAATTCTCAATATGTAATTATTACACATGGTGCTAGATTCTTTTTTCATGAAATAACACCATTATGTTTTATATAATCATTATAGCCAGGTTTAGCTCTAAAATCATATTTGTAATGATAAGATTGCATATTTATTTAACTGTGCTTAACACATTTTAGAGCAACTAAATGATGTAGTCAAAGAGTCTGAATTCTCATTCAGACCAAATCAGTTCCTAGTTCTGTGACTCTGCGTAAACCATGTAATGTCTTCCGGTTTCCTAATCTGTACATGGGGGGAGTTCAGTTTAAAGGAGCCCCAAGATCTTTCCAGTATAATATTCTCTACTTATAGAACATAAGCCTTCTGATTGAAATGTGCTAGGCGGTAGACTTACTTTCCATTAAATACTTTGTAAAATGCAAACTTTTAATTCAGTTTCCCTATTTTTAATGAATTGCATGAAAACGAATCTAATAAAGAAGTTCACAAATTACCGCATTGTTAGTAAAAATCATAGATGTACTATAAAACATTCAGGAAACATTTTGAAATTAAGCAGATAAAAATTTGTTGAGTTACCTGGGTAATAACTCTTAAATCATTCTGTTCACTATCAATCTGCTATACACTGAAGTTACAGTAAAATTATTGGCCTAACGCGTATCAGCAGTTGACTAAAGAGAATCAGAAAATCCCAGGCAGGATACTGAGTATTACCAGAAAAGACTTCATTTCTCCTTACTGGCCCACCCGTTAAGAGGGTTTGTTCTGGACCGTGACAGTGGGTCTTTAACCCCCTACTAATCCATTTTAATCAGCTGTAAGATTATACACAGCTCTAACCACGTAGCTCTGTCCCTTCTTAAGGATTGTAAATGACTCCCTGTTGCCTACAGGATTAGGTCTGAACTATTTAGCCTGGTTTTCAAGGCTTTCCAAGGTTTGACCCTGGTTTATCTTTCCAGCCTCATTTCCTGTTATTCTCCTTTATGTGCCTTTCACACCAGGCCATCTGAGCTACTTCCTTTCCTGGGACACTGCTTGTTCGCCTTCCTCATGTCATCTTGCTGCTTGTATTGCCCTTGACCTCATTATCAGCTTTTCACTTTCCAGACTTAACTCATGTACCAACTTTTTCCTTCACAAAGCCTTCCTTGATCTCTCCAGCCAGAATTTCTCTCTAATGTGATGAGAGTATAATAATAGGTCTTTGTCTGTGGCCCCAATCACTTCTTCATTCTTGATAGAGGTATTTAAGTATGTGACTTATTAGGCTGGAAATGTCTTCAGCATTAGTCTTAGTCAAATACATTCTTATATGTGGAAAAATTACTAGTACATACAGTAACATGGCCTTATACATATTAAATCTTCAATGAATGTTCCATGTAACACTGGTATACACTGGTTAGTTCTGTATCCAACTTACCAAATTAGATATCTACTATATGCAAATCACTTCAGTACAAAAAGTGAAACATAAAAAAGCTGATAAATATAAGACAGATGACCAAAAGAAGTGTAATGATTTCTCAGTTTACAAAAAAATATGAAATGAAAATACCCCCCTTACAACAACAACAACCAACAAAATGACTAAAGCAAAATGGCATTTTTCGTTGGCAACTCCAATGGCAGAGGCAGGGAGGCAAGGACTTGAATCGGTCTGTGTTACAGGCTATCAACTCGGTCTGACCCATTGGTTGAATGTGAAGACAGTGACTCCTGCAGGAGGTTCACACTCAAGAGAAACTTCATTGTGTTACCTTGCTCTTATGCCACACCCCAGTATAAAACACCAAGAGTTAGTGAAGGTTTACATGTTTTAGGGAATGAATACAATGTAAAAGGATCGACCTTGGCCCAAGAACAAGGCAGCTGAGCATACAGTTAGGAGCATGGGCTGTGCTCAGTCACATCCCATCTCCAGCCCTGTCAGTGAGGACTCGGCAGGTACCTAATCTCCCCCTTTCACGGGGCCTCATCTGAAACCTTGGGAAAGCAGACAGCCTTCCTGCGGAGGGCTCCGGTGGAAGTGAACTGGGTGTACGAGGACACATGTGCAAGTGAGTGTGTGTGTGTGTGTGTGTTCATGCCACTTACAACAATGGCTAGCACATAATGGGCATTAAGTAATTGTTAGCTGCTATTAAGGAATATATTTTTTTTGTTCACCATAAGTAAATTTTAGAATCAAAATGTAGAAAAAGTAGTGCTCACTGAGTCTTCAAATAAAAAAGGTATTGATACCTTTTAATTGTTACCCATTTGAATGCTCATTGAGTGAGTACCAAAGGCACATAGTCATGAGTAATTTGAAATGATATTCAAAATTTTATTTTGAGTTGAGTGGTAGTATTTAAGAAAAGAAATTGTATCAGACAATGAGCCTGGTCATGTTTGCATAAAGTGATGATAAAAATTGTGAAAAGAAAAAGATTTTCTATACAAAGAGCAGAAAGAATCCAAAATTGGAATGAAGACATTAACATTAAATTAGGTTGCTTTTTCAGAGTTTGTGTTATACTTCATGGGGTTGCCTATGCCAAACTTATAAATAAGCTTACAAGTGGTATCAGTGGTGTCTGTGTTTATACTTATTCTCTGGGACTCTGGAGTGTTTTAAAGATCTTTCTGCCTTTTTTTTTTAACAACAAATACCTATTGACTGACAGTGTGCCATCATTTTGCTTGGAGCTGCCTTTCAGCCACCCAAGATGTTGAGTAGGAATTGGATGTGGAACTAAATGGCTAGGGAACAGGAGCTAAGTGCAGAGGGTTGGGCTAGAAATACAAATGCAGGAGCCTTCTGTGTTTAGGTAGTGGTTGAAGGTCCCTCTGAGTGAAATGTAGGTCGTGGATTGAGTGTTATGAATGAGAACTGCTAGGATCCATGTTTCAAGTATTAAATACATTTTTTAATGAGGTCTGGCACAGTTTTTGAAGCCCTTTTATTTATACTTTAGCTATATATTAATGTGATATATATTCACTTCCCCATACAGGTAGACGATTGTGGCTTTTCTTTGAATCATCCTAATCAGTTCTTTATCGAGAGCCAAAAGATTCTAAATGGCGGTAAAGACATCAAGAAGGAATCCATCCAACCAGAAACCCCTCAACCCAAACCAGGTGTCCAGAAAACCAAGGATGCGTCATCTGCCCTGGCCTCTCTGAATTCCTCTCTGGAAGTGGACATGGAGGGACTAGAAGATTACTTCAGTGACTGATGCTCAACCCGTTTTCTCACTAGCTTTCATTTCCTGCTTTTTTCTTTTTTAACCTTTCTGTTTAACTTCTCCTTCCACCCTACCCAATCTATCCATCTAATGTCTCAAGCAGGTTTGCAGGTTAAAACAAAGACCTCCACCATATTTTGCTTTAACAACGGAAGAAGAAAAATTTCTCTTGAAATATAACACTTACATGGTATGTTGATATAAGTCCTGCTTTAGGAGAGAAAACAGCTTTCTAGACTGGTTACAGGCCCCTAGAAACAATATAGTGAAAACAACTTTTATTTTAACCCTCATCATTGTGATTTTGATTCAACCCTTTTTTGGATCATTTTTGTTAATAAATATCAAAATGCATATGAGTGTGTCTGTGTGTAATTGCGGGAGTCATATTTTGTCATAACAGATTAGACATTATGTTCATTTTTAAAGTGGCACTTTGGAATATCCAACACTGTCAATTACCAGTAAAGATTTTAAACACATTTTTCTGTCTTTTTTTTTTCTTGATTTGGCTATTTGTGGTTGTTTCCTATCAGCAAGAGAGCTTTTGCCCTTTTGAGTGGCAGAAAACTCTACTGAAATGAACTATGAATTAAGATCAAATGGAATTTTTGTCAGCTATGTAAGCAATGGACAGAAGTGTTTTGTTATGTAAAGTGATGCTAACTCCTTATCTGCTGTCATTTTCCATTCACTCTGGGGGGCAGGCTCACGAGGAATAGACAATTACTCACGAAGGTTGTGGGGAGAGTCTCCAGTGTTTCTCCGTTCCACCCTCCAACTTTCATACCTTATTGTTTCTGTGGCCGCCGCACTGCCACATGTGTTTAGTAAATTCCTTAAGCTCGGTAATGAATATTCTGGTATTTATGGTCACCACCCCCTCCTTCCAGTGCCCGCTGTAGGATTTAGTAAACGTCGTGGACAATTACAGGCATACGAGCATCATGCACTGCTCTTTCTGCCTGCCTTTGGCCAGCAGGCGGCGCACTTTCCGCCCTGCAGAGCCGTCCTTTTGGAGGCCCCTGTCTAACGTACTTCTTCCCAGTGGTCCTACTCACCTGGAGAATTGGGGGCTCTAAGAACGGAGAGCCCGTGGAAATTTAACCCTTCCTCATCTATTAACTTGGGTTATGTAAACAGCGGTCTATTTCAGTCCTCTTTTCCTGGTGAAGAAAGGTACTTTTTCCCTTTATCTTCTTGAATCTGATACTAACTAAAGTGAAAAGAGAATATTGTATTCAGAAAACTAGACTGTTAGAAGCACCACATTTTAAATCCCGTGGAAAACTGCAGCAACATGAAAAGGATATAAGCAGGATCAGATCGCCGGAACCTGAAAGTGTCAGCTGATTGGGTTTTCACTTTAAACTGCTGTGCAAGGGTTTCTTGAAATATTTTGTAATATATAATTTCACGAGATAACCATCTGAACCTTTACTTGTCTTCGTGAATTATTATTACCTAGTTCAGAAAATAGTATTATTCCATTACAAATTACCCCTATAACTTTCTCCCTTCTGAAACCATCTGCTATTCTTTTTATCATTTATAGTTCTCAGCAGGAATCTGATGATTGCCTACCACTTTATCCATGAACTGCAAAACCACCAGTCTTTTTTTTTTTTAATGTTAAGAACAAGTGCTGCATGGGACTGTTTTAACCACAGAATTAAATTAGCTTTAGAAAGCCAAGCACAGAAATGTAGGTCTCTGTTGTATTAAAAAGAAGGGAAATATTAGAAGCAGTCTCCCTGCTGTAATTCAGTGAGAAACCTTATGACAAGATATTTCATATCTGGCAACATTTTGCAAGGCTATCTTTTTCTACTGCCTCATGTTCACCTTCTTTATGAAGCCGGTGCTCCCACCAGCAGAAAGGACAGAGCCATTAACAGCACAGTATATGTGTCTTACCTGACTTTTTATTTTATACTGGCAGCCCCAAGAATTTATCATCCTACTTGAATGTTTTATATGTTTCTAGTCAAACTGCAAAACAACACTAGTTTAAATATTAGTTGTATTACAAGTTCAATTTCTTCATAATAAAACTTGATCTCCTGTCATGTATTATACAGAAGAATATATAAATATTTTGTGAAGTCTGCAGATTAGAGGATGGGGGTAAAAGGTTTATATAAGATGACAGAAATTAATGCCTTTTTGGTGCTTTTTGGAGTTGGAAAAAGCAATTTATTTTTCATGCTTCACAGGTCTTGACAATTTTGATTTGTTTTCTTTGAAAGCAGACCTGTTTGAATCAAATGATGTTGGAAGAACCCAAAAGAAAAATCAAAAGCCTGCAGCCTCTTTTCAAAACAATGGCCAATGAAAAGGAATATGAGTCTTCCAGGTCTTTTAACTTCTAGTTTGTTATGACTTCTTCAGAGAGGAGAGGCTGTGTGATTATCAGAGCCGGAAGAAAAAAACAGGAGAGGAAAGAGACTAGGCTGGAAATTTGTAGCTGGCTGAAGCGATGATGTTGTTAGTGAAGAGTCTATTATATTTCTTTCATTGTTTCTCCATGTTTCTTACTCTGCCTGTAGAGTACAAAATTCTTAATTGCAATGTGCATAAAAGATCACTAGGAAGGTTTTAAGTAAACTTTTTAGGACTACCTATAATATTATGAGTGATAAAATTGAATAGTTGTGGATTTTGAATGAGAGGGAGCCAAATAAAGCAATGGGAAAGATCTTTAATTCATACAGAATTTTTAGAAGCAGAGGGATTTCTTCTGTCTCTAAAAGCATTCAGAGTGTTTGCTTGTTTCACGTCGCTGTCTTACTGACACTCAGGGTCTTTGCAAGCAAACTTCTGTAATTCTTTGCAAAGAAGAGAAAGAAGCTTCTGGGATTTAAGCTTGAAAGACAAAATGAGACAACTCTCAAGTTCTGGTTTGGTTAGAGTCTACTGTTTGCAAATTTAATCAAGGTCTTCCACAGGTGTCAGCTTGACATTAAGTTTATGTGCCCATTCAAGTGAGGTTTGACAGCAGTTCTGAATGTGAAGCTCAGTCTGAGGACATCTTTACAGCTGGAAGGGGGAAAAAGTTGAGAAGCCTCAAACCACTGTGGTAATTAGATCCATTTTTTCTCTTCTTTTCTAATATTGGCAAAGGGAGGGGGAGAGGTGACGCAGGGGCGAGAGAGGCAGGAACTGGAAACGTGGCCCAGTGCTCCCGGTGGGGTTTGTGCAGAGTCCTGTGTTGCAAAGAAAAGTGGCAGATATCCCCTCTGACAAGTAAGTAAGCTGGGGAAATTATTTTAATACCTTTTGGGGAGTTTGTCCTTCTTTCAGCACACAACTAACTGCAGTGTGCGAGTGCTGCAGTTTGAATAGGTGTGCCTGTCTGGCGGTCAAGCCCTTCGGCCGACGCACAGCGCCGTGAGGGAGTGGGCCTCCCGAATACGTAATGGGCCTGACGAGTTCATGGTTCTCACAAGGGTATGTCACCTACAATCACTTACTGACCCAGAGCATCTGGCCTTCTCTACAGAACTGAGTTCCTTTTTGAGAGACAGCTATTGCCCGAGTCTGAGACTGTTCACCATAATTGACATCGTAAGCAATTGGCTCTGGGATTCCATGGCAATCTTGTCGTCTATTAGGAAATTATCTTCCCACTTCATCTGACCTTCCTGCCAAAAGTGGTAGTATTTCCAGTTACTGGATTTGCTTTCTAGCCATAAGCTCTCTCTGTCCATTGCTTCATGACATTTTATTTTCTCCAAGAATTATCACTGTAGAACATAATCAAAAGCTAAAGGATATCTCTGTATATAAAGCTTCTGTACTTTCCCCAAGCCTTCAGCTGTGGTACCGTTTTTGAACATTGATGACAAGGTTGTGAAACAACACTGCTAATAAGTGGATGATGGATTTTCCAATTCAGGCCTGCATTTCAAGGTATTTATTCACCCTAACAGAACTGTGAGGCTCTTTAATGGTTTTTGATTTTGTTTCATTTTGCACTGAATGCATAGAGAGAAAATAAATTCAGCAAATGATACCTTTAATTTAAGACTCTGCGTAATAAGAAAACTAACCATCTTGTGTAAATTTTCCTAATTTCCCCCCACCTTGTTTTTTTAATTAGAGCATGCACTTGGGTTGTAGAGGATACCAAGGTTATTACTGACTAAAAGGACATAGTACTACATGCTTCTCTTCTACCTTCCCTTCCATTGCTGAGAATCAGAATTGTGATTTAATAATCCTCTTCCACCCTTAACCCTTGGTTCTCTTTAGAGTTCCTGCCCTTCTCCACGAGGCTCCATGGGTGCTCTCATTCACTCCTATGGTACTTCCAACATGCAAGTAGTTCCCAAATCCGTGTCTCCAACTCACATTTGTCTGAGCACAGACTCATCTGTCTGACTGCTGCTTGGGCTTCTCCATTAGCAAGTCCTACCCGTATCTCTAATGTGTCCCAAATCAAGCCTGTTATCTATCATCCCATAAGTTTGTTATTGTAGAAATTCTATTCTGAAGTGAACCTTGACCATTCTCTCACGTTCTCACTTTTCACATTCTTCACACATCCAAGTCCAATTGATTCTGAGTTCATACCAGTATGTCTGAACCCAGGGATCTCCGCTGGGGGCAGTGTTGTCTGCAGGGGACATCGGTAATGTCTGGAGCGATTTGGGGTTGTCACAGCTGGAAAGCGGCCTATTACTGGCATCGAATGGGTAGAGGCCAACAATGCTGCTCCTCAGCCTGCGATTCACAGGGCAGCCCCTTACAACAGGAATATCCAGCCTACAGTGTCGGGAGTGCGTGGTTGAAAGTCCTAAGTGGTTTCCTCTCCTCGCATTCTCACTTCTCCCATCACTTCGAGCTTGTGTTACCACAGTGATCCTTTAACTTACTGGCCTGGTCTACGTTCCCCTCTCCCTAGGCCCATTTCCAATTTTTCCCCCTTAAGTGTTTACCTTCTTTAACACACCTCTCCCTTAGGTACATGAAGTCTAACTCTCCATGATTTCATGCACGAGGCCCTTCATGACCTGAGCCCTGCCGACCTCTCCAGTCCCATCCTCTGCCATTCACCCTCTCTTCTGCCATCCAGCCCTGTGCTTTAGCCATCCCAAACAAGCTTGCCCTGCTCGGTCACCAGGCTCTCTCATCTCTGTCACTTCTCCTGTCTGAAGCTCAGGTTAGTTACACATTCTTTCAGCCTTCTCTGATAGGCCCTGTGTCGGTTCATTGCTCCTTTTAGGCCACATAACATATTTCTATCACAGTACTTATGTTTGTAACAACCTATTTACTCATGTTGCCCTTCATTGGACTGTAAAGTTCTTAAAGGCAGGAACTATGTCCAGGAACTCCGTCACTTTCATATTTGAATCTTCAATAATTATCATTGTCTCTAGTTATTAGCATCATGCGTGAAATCTTGGGCACTCAGGAAGTGTGTGTAGAGTAGGGGGGTGTTAATTAGTTATCCCATAGGAATCTCAAA